TGGATTTCTTTTGGATTGACCCTACTATGACCCATTTATATGGTGAGTAGAGAGTTGAGTAAAGAGGAAGTAACAGGTACTTGAAGCATAAGGAGCATGATGGGATAGAGTGCAGAGAGTTACTTGTTATGTTTCTTAGTTTTAATATTTTTGAATTATTGATTGGTTATGGACTAACATTATTATGTTTGTTTTTAATTGGTTTTTAAGAAAAGCCATGTTCGAATTTGTTCCAACTTGTGAATGTTTTATTCTACATTTGTTTTGAGGTTGTGAACTCAAGTTTTAATTTTAGAAGTTGGTTTTTATTTTTAGACTTCCGCTGTGTGACTTTGAAAATTTGCCTTAGCTGTTATCACGTTGGCGGTAATATTTTGGTTATTTCCTAAAAAGGGTTTTATGTAGAGTAAAAAGAGTATTTTAAAGGAAGGAAATTTACAGGGTATTACAAAAACCCTATCACGATCTATTCACATTATTTTCACTCAGTTTAGGGATAACAATTTCAGATAAGTTCATATATGAGATGACATGTTCAAATAAGTTTAGATAAAATATAATAAGTTCATATAAATTCGGATAAAATAGGTTTAGTTTAGATAAGTTAAAATAAGTTCAGTCCATATTCTATTCACAATCCTTCTACTTAAATAAGATATCTGAGTTATTTTATATGAAATTATCTTTTTTTTTTCTAAATTTATTTTATTTGAAATCATCTAAATTGTTTTAAATAAGTTCATATTCGAGATAACTTTTTTTTTTAATGTCATTATTTTTTTTATTTTTTTATTTTGAAACATTTGAATGGCATTATTTTTAAAACGTTTAAATAAGATTAAATAGGCAAATAAGTAATAAAATTAGATAAAAAAAAAAGACCAATAAAAGGAGTTTATATAGTTATATGGAATTACTTAATTGAAATATCAAATGAACTTGCATCTAAAAAGAAGTAGTATTCGTAAATTGTAAACTCTAAATTGAAATATAAAATGAACTTGCACCTAAAAAGTAGTAGTATTCGTAAATCGTAATTACTATATTGAAATAAAGAATGCACATGCATCCAAAAAGTAGTAGTATTCATAAATTTTTATACATTTTTTTTACATATTGTAATACATTTGATAATAAAGAACTTTATTAACAATATTAGAATAATATTTAATAGGAAAATAAATCATAAATTTAGGATAAAAAACAATAATAGGAAAATAATTGATATGACGCGTCCTAGATAGTTATTAGAAGAAAAATAAAATAGGATGTAATTCTTTGTGAATAATACAATTAATCTGAGGAAAAATACACTTTAATAATTCCAACTATGGCCAATTTACTTCTAATAATCCCAATTAAGATTTATTTTTTAATAATCCTAACTATGCCATGACTTTGCCTCCAATAGTTCTAACCGGTCAACACCAAATCAACGACTTGTTGCAATAGGTAACCAATACACATGTCAGCATGTGATTGGTCTATAATTTAAAAAAAAAATAAAAAATAAAAAAGAAAATAAAACTAAAAACCTTAACAGCCACCACCCCATCCCACCACCGAGAAACGCCACAACCAACCGCCATCTGGTCGGAAAACGACCGACCGTCTCCCCTAGACCCCAAAAAATGGCCGACAGTCCCCTCCAAACCCCAAAAACCACCTTAGCCGGCCCACTCCCACTCCTTACCCCAAACCACCGATCTTCCAATCCCTTGAAAACAATCTCCGCTCACCGCAATGGCGCAACCAAAGCAGTGGCAGCCACCGCAATGGCACAATAAAAGATGTAGTAGCCATCGCAATGGCACAACTAAAGCAGCGGCCACCGCAATGGCGCAACCAAAGCAGCAGCAACCATCGCAATGGCGCAACCAAAGCTGCGGCAGCCACCAGCGATTGCAGCGGCAACCGCAACCCATGCTGTTGCTTTGGTTACGGTTGCAGTTGAACTAGATTCGCACCAATTTCGCACTAATTGCTGTTGCTTTGGTTGCAGTTGAAACCCAGATTTGGTGCGGTCATTTTCGGGGGGTTAGGGAGGTGGCCAGCCGGTTTTCAGTTGGCTGTGGGTCGTTGGGATTTCACGGTGGGGGTTGGTTGGATAGATTATTTATTTATTTATTTATTAATATTATGCCAATCACGTGCTAACATGTGGTGTTTAAAAACAGAAAAAAGTTTACCCTTTCAGCAAATAATCAATTTTTGGGTCTATCGGAGGGAAAGTCAGGTCATAGTTAGGATTATTAAAAAGTAAAGCTTAGTTGAGATTATTAAAATTAAATCGACGATAGTTGGGATTAATAAAGTGTAACCTTAATCTCAACCCTTTCATGTATGACATTATATATGGCAACATACTAGGCAAATATAGCCTATAATTAGGAAGCTAATTATCTCCTTTGACCATACAACAAATATATACATAAATTTGGGGATGATGCTTCTTTCTTTTGCTGGATCGACTTGGTCTCCCTGCATCCAAGATAAAATACTTAGATCAATATAAATATAGAGTAGTTTTAGCCTTACAAAGTTACGACTTTACGAGTAGCTTAGAATATATTTAGCATATATTCTCTAATTATTGTATATATATTTATGTAGCTAGTCAATATCTACAATAATATCTTTATTTATGAGTTTGAAATGGGTCAGGAACAATTCAGACTGAATTTGGGTCGGGTCAATAACAAGTCGTGTTAAATTTCGGGTTGGGTTAGTAATAGGTCAGGTTAAATTCGAATCGGGTTAGTAACAGGTCGGTTTGAATTGAGGTCGGGTTAAATTCGGGTTTTGACAGGTTAAAGCAGGTTTGGGTCAATCTTGGTCCAGGTCGGGTTCAGTTTAAGTCAATAATTTACAGGTTATATTCAGGTTGCGTCATCTCCAGGTCGGTTCATGTTCGGGTTCGGGTCTCAAATACTCGGGTTAACTCGGGTATAGGGTTAGTTTCAAGTCGGGTCATATCGAGTTCGGGTCACCATTTTTCGGGTTCAAACAGGTCGGTTAATAAACGGGTTCGAGTAAATTTTCGGGTCGGGTCAGCTTATGACAACTCTAATTATAAGGGCTATAAGAAGTTTTTTTTAATGAAATTTTTTATGTACAGATCAATATGAATAATTAAGGTCACTATGTTAAAATTTAAATTCAGGTTCACAATAATATTAAAGGTCACACAAGTTTTAATAAAGGTTATTATATTAAAATAAAGGTTACTACGTTTAATGTAATGTCGGCTGTGTGTGTATAAGTATCAGGTCCAATAATATTATTATGGACCAAGTGCACGCAAGATATTTTCCCCCAATAGGACACTTCAAAAAAAATTGGAGGGAGTATTTTCGAACAAACTAAGCACTTATGTATCCCTAAATTAGGCCGAATAAATACACTATTGCATTTTTGAAATGACGCACCACCTAATCCATGAACACTAGAATTTAGCGCGAATTGTGATGACATTGTCCAATCTGCCATAGTGCATGGCATAATTTCGAGTTTGTTAATGATAAAAGCAATGCCAAATATTTTTGAAATTCAACCATGTTTTTACTTTTCTAGTTTTCTCCCTTGACGTAAATCTTTTAATGGTCCCACACCAAAAATTAGCCACTTGTGTTCGTGATATGTTTGGCTGTAAGTTGTCCCCTTTTATAGCCTAATGTAGTAATGTATGCTTGCCAACTTTCTTATATAGCATAATACAGATCTTGTATTTGTCAAATTGTATATATACCATGTACTGTTATAATAACACTCAACCCAATTTATGCAACTCGTAATGTAATTAAACATAAGTTGATTAAAAATTAACCCAGCTATATATATAGTTGAGACTGGTTTATTTCTCTTTCTCCGTATTAATTAAGTTTATTGGTCAAATAACTAAAGCTTAATCAAACTCATTTGATTGAATACACCATAAATCAATCAAACTCAAAATTAGTTACACGACCTAATAATTGTCACCTCTAGGATGTAGTATGTAATAAGTGATATTCCTCTTACCTTAAAAGTTTTTAGAGCAACACCTATGCAATAAGGTGCTTTAGTAGTGAAAAATTCCATTGTTATCTAATTAACACTTATGGGGCATATCATTTGTTAGTTTAGGCTTGATTAGAGGATTTGTATTCATCAAACTATAGGATATGAAAACCTAACAATCAAACATATGTAAATATATACCCCTCGTGAGGAGGACATTCTAATTAATGTTTTTATCTTACCTTCTAAAAAAATACACGGTCATTATAAGTGTTACTTCATATTCTCTACCTTTAAATAATGCACTGCTTAATCTTTTTAAGCCAGCTATTTAAAACTTATTAACCATATTTTGCTTAGATAGTATATGTATATATATATATATCTCAAAAGTTCTCAGCTAGTAAATACTTCATATATTATAACTTGTAAATTCATAGCCCTAATACAAAACTCAATACTAATTATTTGATATGGTTATTACTAGGTAAAATAGAGATGTTTGACAAATAATAATAATAATAATAATTATTATTATTATTATTTTTAAAGAAGCAAGTTTAATGGATATGAATGCGAATAAAACTCTTTTTTTAAAAAAGTTGTTGATTTATTTACATTTTTGTCATTTGATAAACATCTTTTGTTTATCAAGGAGATAAACTCATCTCAAATAAATAAATAAAATAAGAGGAGATGGTGCATTTAATTTTAAATTTTAAAGAGATCTTTCATTTTCATTGTAGATTTTTAATTTTTGAGGAGTTTTTTAATAAACTAACTTAAAGAACTAATTATAATAATACTAATATAGATAAACTCAGGAAGAGTAAAAATATATATATTGGTACATAGACTTCAGTGTCCTTTAGCTGAAAGCAATAAATCTGAAATCCTTTTATTCATCAACTTAATTCTTATAGTCAAAAGGATCACCCCACCACTAAGTGCAACAATTAAAAATAAATACTTGATAAAAGAAAAAGACAGTTGCAATGCACTTTGAGCCTTAAAAAGTCAGAAAATCTGGCATTAATCAGAAGGAGCATAATAACATAACTAACTGTTATTACAAAGATAGATCATCTTGTCTTTCTTCTTTTCCTATATGAGAAAAAAAGGGAAAAGAAGAAAGAAAAGCGCATCTCCATCATCATGATAGCATAATTAAGATAAATAATACTAATACTAGCTACAATAATAATACTAATTAAGAAAAATTTACTGCATAATTATAATGAAAGTTACATATGATAAATCATCCTTCATTATTCATCGGCTTTCCGGGTGCAATGGGAATAGCTCAAGGGTTTTGTCTTCCTCATTCATATGATCCTTCTTCGGGTTCGTGTCCGAGCATTGGAATGTTGGCCAGCTCCTATACTTCCTCTTGTATGGACTTATCTGTTGCTCTTCTATGTCCGCCTGCTACAAGCATAACAATAAATTGATTAAAATTTTAATTAAGACGTATTTGTAAACAACGTAACTTACATAAGTAGGTTAGTGATTTACATTATAATGTAATCTAGAAGAAATAATGTGAACCCCACTTTGGTTGTAAAGTAATGCGATTTTTTTTTACAGACAACTACTATGTATAAGCAAAAAAGAAAGACTTAACATCATTACATATCTTAATCAAATGAGAAAATGAGAAAGCCAATAATATTCTAACACATCATTTTGGTTTTAAATTCAAATTTCCTCCTCTTTTTATTTTCGACTTTCTCATATATTAACAATGACATGTATTGGAATATTACTGGTTTTCTCATTTTCTCATTTCTCATTCTAGCAATTCCATACATATATATATATATGTATATGTATATGTATACACTCTCTATACAAAAATAGTTGTTATAGTTGTACCAATTCCGTCATGATTAAAAATATGTCATGATTCTCAATAAAATTAAACCTTTGACTTAAGTAGTGATGTATTTTTTGAGACTATCATGACAAACAATTAGTTTTCCGATCATCATTTATTTCAGAATTAATACGTTCAGATAAGTTTAGATAAGTTCAATTAAGTTAAGTTCATGAAAAATATGTTCTGATAAGAGTTATCCAAGTTTAAATTACAATTAATATAAGTTCTAATAAGTCCAGTTAAGTTCAGACTAGTTCACTTATGTTTTGGTTAAGTGAAAATCAGATGAATAGAACACACCTTTAGTAATATATGTGACAATTGACAAAATGCACTCTGTAATAAATAGGTATACATAATTATATTGCACGTATATATACATACCCTTGTGTCTAGAGTTAATGTAACGGAAGTGTCAATTTGAGTAGGAGAAGCAGTAGGTGTCCTGGGATTGTGACTAAGGCCAAGGTTACTGCGCTTCTGCTTTTGTCTTTCACGAGCTTTATGATTTTGAAACCAGTAAAATACATTCTTCCCTTCGATCTTGCCGTACTTGCTTAGTTGCTCCGTTATCTGCTCTATCTGTTGTGCATTTGGTGTCCGCATTCCTCCTCTGTACAACATCTCTAAGATCCCTATCTGCTCTTGTGTAGGGTTCCATCTCGTTCCTCCCGGATGCGATTCCACCTACCAAATAAGATCGATCTTCATGTGACTAGCATATATATAGCATTTAGCAGTAGCAATGTACAAGTATATGTTTAACTAAGGGTGTGTTTTGTTCACCTTATTGTCACTTATTTTAAGTCTAATAACTTCAGTAAAGTTCACATAAGATAAATTCAATTAAATTAGTTCTCACAAAAGTTACCTAAGTACAAATTACAATTAAAATAAGTTCAGATAACTTCAATTAAGTTCTGATAAGTTAGGATTCAGTTAAGTTCAAATAACATTCATTACATTAGCATATATTTCCTCTCTTATTCTCCTTTAGTTGTGTCATTTTCAGATCGCAATAATATAATTTATTGCAAATTATCAATCTTTTTTAAGGTAATTATAAATATTGATAAGTGAAGGTATTCATTAGTAAGCATAAAAATAAAATTATTCCATGTAAAAGAGAACAGAGGATGTATAACATTATATTATACTTCATAATATTTAGTGGCCTGGAACTTTACGTACCAAGTCTAACCGAACAAGTAATAATTAGCATACATAATGTTCATGCCGAGAACATATAATTGCTTAATATATAAGGTTGTCCTCTCATTCTTAGTACTACACACCTAGCTAAACTAAGTTCCTTTACGATGAGGCAATGTTTATGAAAAAAAAAATTAAAAAAGATCAAGGCATTAGTAATTAAACTAGGATTATGAATTACCTGTTGAGTGGCTGAATCTTTCTTATGATCAGAAGGGGAAACAACCTTTCTTGGACCGCTCTCGGGTTTAATGAAGCTTTTGAGATCAAAACTAGGGTTATTAACAACATTGTTGGTGGCAACCTTAGGAGCAAGAGGCCGAAACCGTTTGCATCCGAGAGAAAGGGCGGCTTGGGAGTCATGAGATTGATGATTATCCCAAATGCCACGTGCAAAGGGGTGCACCTTCATGCTACTACTACCCATGACGACGAAAAATAGAATGAATGAACGATGGAGAGCGCCAACGTAATTAGTCTCTAATTATATAGAGATATAATGATAATGATGATGATAATGAATAATAATAATGGTAGAGATATAAAGAGAAAGATATAAGTAGAAAAGAATGAAGGACAAGAGAATGAAAGAAGATTGATGATAGTAAAGGTGAGAAAAGAAAGTGGGAAATGAGGTGGTGTTTGGAAGAACCAAGACCAAATGATGAGGTGAGGTTGACTTATGATTTCTAATACCAAAAAGAATTGAATAAAAGTTGGAAAAAGAAAAAAAAAAAGTGAGTGAATGAATGAATGAGAATGATGGTAATTAGATGGGTAATGAGCGTGTGGGTAAAATGTATGCGTGTGTTGTTGAGGAGTCTAATCAAAGGAGGGATGGACGTGTTTTTCTTGCTTTCATCATTACATTATGTGTGTGCTTTTCGGTGCCCTTTGTTTGCCTCTCATATCAGTAGGGCTTAGCAATTTAACTTTACTATGTGTTAGCTAGACATGTATAATTCTTTCATATTCCCATTATGTTCTGTACATCTTTACACTTATTTTTAATGTATTTTTTGGAAGTAAATGATCATTTAATTTTTTTTGTCTACTCTCAAGCGTTGATCTTTATTGGTGGTCTAATAGACTTGTGAGAAGTATTAGTTCAATATGATCATCTCCTTATTTAATAATTATTAAAAATTTTAAATGATAATATGTTGGTCGTAAGTAAAAAGTCTCTCGTAACATAAAAAATTGTTAAAATATTTCATTTAAACAGTATAAAATAAAAGTTAATTAAAATTGAACAATTAAATAAAGTTATGACGAGTAAGGTTCTAAGAACGTATCAACAATTATAATTGGCGCTAGCTCTTAAGTTAGGTGCAAATCAACTCGAATTATGAATTTATGATATATTGGAGTATAGTATTAGATTTTGGATCATCGGGTGGTATACAGAAAAGGAAAAGTAAGGTTTAGGAGGAAATGTATGAGGCGACGGAAAATGAAAAGATACCTCCTCCAATCCCAAAACATGAATATGGAGCACTATTAGCTTTATAAGATACGGATTGATATATGAATTGGGTTTATAAAATAAGAAATAAAGTAGTAAAGGCCGTCTTTTAGTGGTAGAAATTGTTGAAAAAACAAAACCAAATCCACCTGAAAGGCAATATGATCTACATTCCTCTTCTTTGGGAACTGTAGCCCCAATTTCCCAAATAGTGTAAATCCACAATCACACTTTTCTTTTGTATAGTATTTAATTGACTTTAGTACCCACTACCATTAATTAGAGATAACTATTAATTTAGTCATATTTATGTGCCAAAATGTTGCGTTTGAAATACTAGATTTGGCTTCACTAATCAGTTGTTAGGGACAAGTGTTAATACTTTGTATGATTTAATTGTAATTAGTCCATGTATGGTCCTCTTTCACCGAATACGATTTGAACTTGTTCATGGTCCTTTTTTTAGATGCATGCTAATGTATACAAAGTATATATTAATTTATTCCCTAAAATTTTTGTGTGCTATAAGTATATGTGCTATTAAAAAATAATCTATTTTGATATTGACAATTAAGAATTAAGTAACTGAGTTCAAAATTGGGTATTTGAAACCTATTGTATCCAACTAATGAACTGAATTCAGTTTTAGGTTAGATTCCAAATTCTAATCCAATTTTAGCTCGACATTCAATCCAACTCATAATTACAATATCAAATTTGTTCTATGACCAAGCAAAGGAAACATAACACCCAATGTGAACCCAATAAAGATAAATCAAAACTAAGCTGACCTAATAATAACACAAAACTTAATTTTAAGCTAGCATGGGTGCAAGTTACATGACCCATGCAATATCTGATACCCTGCACCATTATGAACCCTACCTGTGTCAAACCATACCCATGGCCAAATTCATCCAGAATAGTGTTAATAATCTAACTCAAGTCAATATGATAAATGAAATAAACCCAATCAACTTAGTCAACTATCAACTTGATATTCATAATCAAGTAGATGTGAGAAATTTCAAATTTGATCATCAAAGTCTAATTAATCAAATTTTAATCAAGTTGTAGATACATCAATCTACAAACTTATTAATTGAATGATGTTTATTAAATTGAGAACAACAAATATCATAATCTTACTTATACTTTTATCACACTTAACCTTTATTTTGCTTTTAAGAAAAAATTTAATGTACTACTCATATCAACAAGATTCAAGTTTTTTTAAAGGAGCTAAAAGTCTGAGTTATTTAATAAATTAATTGTGTTAGGATGAGTGTTTTTCTCGGGAAAGTATCCGCACAGTATCATGTGCATAATTGAGACCAAAAGATGTTAAAAAAAATAATTGTTAGTTTTTTGTGGATCTATTTTGGTTCGCAACACAACAATGTTTACATTACTTTGCTCAATCATGTACTGTCCCTTAAAACAAGCCCGTTTGTGTGCTATTACTGAAAATGACCAATACACTTTGGCATAAAACACAAGAAGATGTTAGTCATAGACTTCTAAATAAACTAAGGTTTCAAGTGTTTGGGGTAAAATTACCCTATGCCACGTGGCCCAATGACATGCTGACACGTGTCAGCCCCAGAGAGGCCCAATGGGATCCAATCGGATGCTGACATATGGCACGGTAACACTAATAGGGGAATTGATCCTCTTTTACTATAAATAGAGGAAAATCCTCATTTATTACACATTCATAAATACAAACACAAAAAATCGAGCAAATATTAATTGCAGAATTCTCTCTGAATCAGAGAGAAAATCCATTTACTTTCCGCACATTTATACATCCGGAGACGTTCTAACTTGATCGTCGGAAGCGGAACTCCACCCAACCGGAGTTTCGTGGTTTTGCAGGTACAGACGGTCGGCGCACATTCCCGGAATTGTAACTCTCCCGAGGGACTCCAAAAACCCCGAAACATTTGGCGCTGTCTGTGGGGAGAGTACTTCTGAGATGACATCCGATTCTGTAGCACCTGGTGAGGGCAAGCGGCCTACGGCCGAACCTGAGGTCCATACGGACTAGGATAGTGGTGACGACTATGAGGTCGACACTTATGTGGCCCCAGACGGGTCATTCCGAACAAGGCGCACCCGTTCCAAAGAAACAAGGGAACGGGCGCGAAGACAAAGCTGGCCCTAGCAACCCAGCCGGCAAGCCTGCTGGTCAACCCCAAGCGGCGGAGGGCACAACCCCCGTCACGAGAGACGAGCTTATGAAATTCATGACAAGTTTCAAAGGGAAAATCAAAGACATAATAAAGAAGTCAACTAGCTCCAACAAGGGTAGTCGGCCAAGAAGCCTTCTCCTTCCGGGAAGAAGCACATTAAAGACCGGGTGCCTACTCCTCACCCTAAACCAAAGGGGGCGGATGGGCCCCTGATCAACCTTTCCAGACTTCGTTTCCCTGAATCAGGGAAAAGGAAGGCCATCCGACAAGTTCAGCCGGATGGGTCAAAAAAGACTTACTCTGACGCCTGGATGTTCATCCAGGAGAAGAGAAGTCAACAAATGTCTGAGTAGGCCTCAACGTCGACTCACCCAGACAGTTTCCGCAATACTTCAATGAAGTATTCGGAAACAAACCGAGAGTGTCAGTCACGCGACATGTCCGCACGTACTGGCCCTCAGATTATCCAGCCGGCTCCGTATGTGCCCTAACAACCATACATGCCGTATGGATCACCATACATGCAGCCGACCCTCTTTGGGGGTCCGGCGGCACAGCATGTCCAACCTATGGACTAGCAGCTCCGGCTGCTAAACCTTGGGGAACAGCCGTCGGCGTTCTCCAGGGAGATAACCGAGGCGGTTCAGCCGGCTAAGGTTAAGAATGTGTTGGTCGGTACCTACGACGGTACCATCAACCCGGAAGACCACCTAATGGCTTACACCAACCTCATGTACCTACAGGGGTTGGAAGACGCCGCCTGGTGCCGATGCTTCCCGGCAACGCTGAAGGGCATAGCCCAACGATGGTTTGGCAATCTGCCAGCCGGGTGCATCAACAATTTTAAGACACTTGCATCCCTGCCAAAAAGACAAGTCTCAACTTAGGGGCTATTCAGCAGGGAGACAAGGAGGGACTACGGTCCCATGTCAGGCGGTTCAATCTGATGAGAATTTAGATTCAAGGGTTGTGTTATGAAGTTGCCTATACAGACTTCTTCAAGGGTCTGAAGGAAGGGTCGACCTTTATGTTCGACCTGGTCCGCAAGAGGGTTGCCACCCTCCAAGAGGCATTGATGGAAGCCGAAGCTTACATACAGGCGACGAAGCTTTACGCCATCAAGCATTCGTCGAAACCTAAGAGGTCTGTCAGGAAAGAGAGTCGGCCTACTCAACCGGCCAAAAGAGAAAAGAGCAGGAAAAGAAAAGAAGTCTGGGCGGCGAGTCGTTCTGGTCAGCCGTCCCAGAAGAAAAAGAGAGAGTTGAAGCGTACGTCCCCAAGTACAAGTTCAACAAGGACTGCTCCTCCATCTTTATGGAGATCAAAGACCAGTTAAACCTTGAAAAACCGGCAGCAATGAAGAGTCCCATCAACAGCCGGGACAAGAGCAACTACTGTCAGTTCCATGAGGATGTCGATCATGACACCAATGGTTGCTATAGCCTTAGGCGGCTATTAGACCGTCTGGCTTATGAGGGGTCTTTAAAATCTTATATGGTGAAGTCCAAGGGTAACCCCAAAATAAACAATGGACAACCGTCCAAGAAGCCGGCTGTGAGCTCTGACACTGATGAAGAGCACATCTTTACCATAGCAGGCGACTTCGCGGGAGGGGGTCCTACCATCCGGGATACCAAGGACAACATCCAAAAGCTGGTCAACTCAGTGGATGAGGGCCTAGCGTCGAAAGACACCTTCCCTGAGGTCCTCATCTCTAAGAAGGATCGGGGAAAGGTCAGACAGCCTCATGATGACCCAATTGTCAACGAGTGTAAGGTTTCTAACCAACGGGTGGGCCGGATCCTCATCGATACCGGGAACTCGTCTGACCTAATCAGTTATCAGTGTTTGGCAAAGCTCAAGTACAAGCCTAGCAGCATGCACAAGGCTTCTCACCCCCTAGTCGGCTTTGGGGGACGAATAGTGCATCTGGTGGGGAGGATTGACCTACCCATCCGGCTAGGAGATAAGGGGAAGGACGACACATGGTTGTCAAGTTTTTGGTGGTCGAGGAATTGACCGCCTACAATCTGATTCTGGGCCGTCCAACCCTCAACGAGTCCAAGGCAGTCATCATCCCATCCCTCATGCTGATCAAGTTTGAGAGGGATGACGGGTCAGTGGGTTCCCTGAACGGGGATCAGAAGACGGCTAGGGAGTGTTACCTCTCAGACGTTAAGCCTACTGTGGTCGCAGCCGGCCAAGGCGAGGAGCCCATTGACCTTGATGACTTAAAGGAAGCCGCGCCTGCTCCCAAAGAAGCCAGCAAAAAGAGAAAGGCGGATCACCTGGTGGCCGTAAAAAAAAGAAAAGCAATAGCAATCACTGAACGGGGAACGATCAGAGGATCTCCGTCCCCAGCCGGCTGGTGAAAATATTGATATTGTTCTAGATGACAGCCGTCCGGAACGAACCGTAAAAGTGGGGAAGGTTGCTTTTGCAAAGTTGGGTGCAGAATTGCACCAACTGCTGAAGGAATTCAAAGACATCTTTGCCTTTGAAGTGGAAGAGATGCTAGGCGTCAGCCTGGATCTTGTTGTCCACAAACTTGTCGTGGATCTAAAAAAGAAGCCGGTAAGGCAAAAGAAAAGGAACCACAACGAGGAAGGATCTTAGGCGGCAGCCGCTGAGGTCAAGAAGCTACTGGATGTCGGGTTCATTCGGCAATGCTACTATCCGGATTGGGTAGCCAATGTCGTCCTTGTCAAAAAGTCGAATGGGACCTGGCGGATGTGTGTTGATTACACAGATCTGAAAAAGGCATGTCCGAAGGATAGATATCCAGTTCCAAAGATCGACAGTCTAGTCGACTCTACAGCCGGTCATGCCTTGATGAGCTTCATGGACGTCTACTCTGGCTTCCATCAGATACCCTTGTGGAAAAAAGATCAAGAGAAGACGTCATTCGTCACTAATCAAGGGTTGCTCTGTTATACGGTGATGCTGTTTGGGCTGAAGAATGCGCCTGCTACCTTCCAACGGATGATTAATACGGTCTTCATTAATCAAATTGGGAGGAATGTGAGGCGTACATTAATGACATGATAGTTAAATCCAAGCTCTAGACGGATTACCTTGCTGACCTCCGAGAAACTTTCACCACCCTCAGGCGACATAAGGTCATGCTTAATCCCAAAAAGTGTGTCTTTGGTGTTGAGTCTGCGAAGTTTCTCGGATTCTTGATTGATCAGAGGGGAATAGAGGCCAATCCGAAAAAGGTACAGGCGGTAATTGACATGAAGTCACCTAGCACTGTCAAGGAAGTCCAAAAGCTTACCGGTTGTCTGGCGGCATTGGGGAGATTCGTCATCCAGTCAGGTGACAAGTGCCTCTACTTCTTCCAGGCAATCAAGAAGAAGACTAGATTTGAATGGGGGGAGAATGCTGAGGCGACATTCCAGAAATTGAAGGAGCACCTCCACTAATTGCCACGGTTGGTCAGCCCTTTAGCAGGGGAGGTTCTCTACATGTATTTGGTCGTCTCAGATCATGCCCTCAGTGTCGTTCTCCTAGCTGAGAGAGACGGCATACAACTCCCTGTCTATTTCATTAGTCATGTTCTCCGAGTGCTGAGCTGCGGTACCCCTTGGTTGAAAATTTTGGCCTTGCCTTATTCATGGCAATCAAGAAGTTAAAGCCATACTTCTTGGCACATTCGGTGGTGGTCTACACAGACCAACCCCTCAAGCGGTCAATGACAACCTTGGAGTCATCCGGCAGAATGCTCAAGTTGGCTATTGAAATGCAGAGTCTGGAAATTTCCTTCGAACCTAGAAAGGTAGTGAAGGGTCAGGCGTTTGCCGACTTCATTGTCGAAATGACAAGACCAGCTCAGCCGGACAATGTTGATCGGGTTTGGAAGGTTTACGTAGATGGAAGCTCTACTATGAATGACTGTGGTGCAGGCGTAATTTGCATGTTTTCGGAAGGGGACAAATATGAATACGCACTACGGTTCAAGTTCCAAGCATCGAATAATGAGGCGGAGTACGAGTCCCTGCTAGCCGGTATACGCATATGTAAGGCGGCAGGGGCAAGAAAAGTTGACGCCTGCTTAGATTCTCAACTAATCATTAGCCAATACCATGGTGACTATGAGGCCACCCATCCGGCGATGATCAAGTATCTGCGGGCAGTCAAAGATGAGGCCAGGACACTTGACGAATTTCATCTAAGTCAGGTGCCCAGGTCAGAAAACAATCAGGCGGATCCATTGTCCAAATTGGCATCATCCGCCACTTGTGATGCGCCTAGGACAGTCTTCTGAGAAGTCATGGAAAAAAGAAGCATTGAACATGATCCCATTGGAGTTCTTGATCGAAGCTCTACCTGGATGGATGCCATCTGGGACTATTTGGCAGACGGTACTTTGCCGAATGCCCCTTCAGAAGCGGCATCATTGAAAAAGCGAGCCTCAAGCTTTGAAATCTACAAAGGGGAGCTCTTCAGAGAGGGTTTCCTCTAGCCGTTGCTGAAGTGTGTTACCCGTGAAAGGGGAAATGAGGTTCTAGAGGATCTGTACTCGGGCTTTTGTGCATCACATATAGGCGGCAAAACTCTAGCAAAAAGGGTCAGACGACAGGGCTACTTTTGGCCCACTCTTGAGGAAGACGCCATGGAAATGGTGAAAAAGTGTGACAAATGCCAAAGATTTGGCCGGCTCATACACCGTCCGGCCACATATTTGACGGCTATCTATAGCCCGCTTCCATTTGCAAAATGGGGCATGAACATTTCAGGTCCATATACGCCTACCACAGGCGGGCGGAGGTACATCCTGGTGGCTGTAGATTACTTCACCAAAAGGGTTAAGGCAGAGGCGGTCAAGGGCATTAAGACAAAGGATGTCATCTCCTTCATCTGGAGAAACATCATCACCTAGTTTGGGGTTCCTATGTCTATGGTCGTTGACAATTGCCCTCAGTTTGAAACGCCTACCCTCAAGAGTTGGTTGGGAGATCAAGGGATCTCACATTTCTTTGCATAGTTGGCCGCCCCCAAGCAAACGGCCAAGTTGAATCCTTCAACAAATTCATCTCAGACGGCATTAAGAAGAAAATTGAAAGGGCTGGCGGTCTATGGGCGGATGAGTTGCCTCATGTCCTATGGGCCATCAGAACAACTAAAAAAGGGGCAACCGGTGAAACCTCGTTTCTCATGACATATGGCACTGAAGCCGTCCTGCCAATTGAACTTTATGAGCCAACACTCCGAATCATGCTCTATGATGAAGAGGCAAATTGGGAGGCCATGCGTCTAGCATTGGATTCACTCCCGGAGCACAGGGGCAATACCGCCTGAGAATGACTAGATCCTACAACAAAAGAGTGCACAAACGGTCCTTGAAAGTGGGGGACTTTGTGTTACGAAAAATGGAGGCAACCGGTAGGGAAAATGAGCAAGGGAAGCTAACCCCTAATTGGGAGGGTCCCTACCGGATTTTTAAAGAAGTTAGATGCGGCACCTACCGCCTGGAAACTCCAGACGGCAGGCAGCTAGCCAGAACCTAAAATGTAGATAACTTGAAAAAGTACTACTTCTAAGGACTTGTAAATTTTTTGTAAATAGAGTATATTAATGAAAGAGTACTTTATTTCTATTATTTTGTGTATATAAAGTCCCATCTGTGCAATGCATAATCGGGCAACCGTTTACTCTAACTGAGTACAAGGCTAAGTGTTGAACTTAGCTATTCATAAGGCCAATGGCCGAACATATTATAAACCGCCTGCTCCAACATGAGCAGGCATCCGACGACGCCCATTTGGGTGAATTCGTCGAAGAGAACATCTCCCTTCCGGGTGGTACATTGTTCTACAGGTCATAACTCAAACGGCTTTCACCGACTAGGTTAAAGATAACTCATAATCGTTCGAATGATCTATTGAAATCAAGATACAACCGGTCATTGCCTGAAGGCAATACATACAGTGAATTAAATCTTGGTCTGTAGCCGGCTTTTGCCAAAAAGCACTACAACCGGATACAAATTCCATAAACAAGGCCAAAACCTTGTCATCTAATCCGCAATTGGTTAAAATGCATATGCCCGGCCACAGGTCGTTTGTATACCAATCAACAGCACTGTCGGATACCCAAAGGGTAATCCGCAGCCGGTTAAACAAGTAATCTAGGTTGGGTTTAGCCGGCACCGCCAGCAGATCCAACTTAGGAATAATTTTGTTGTTTATTAGTCCGGATGCTTGTATGGACGGCTGGCTGCTTAGAGTTGGATTAACTATAAGCACACAACCGTCTAGGGGCAGACAGAGCCGATGCATCAGGCATACCGCATGTATTAATTCAAATCGCCAAAAAAAAAAAAAAAAAAAAAAAAAAAAAAAAAAAAAAAAAAACAAGAGAAAGGCAAAAATTGCAAAAATTGAAAATTACAAAAATTGAAGCAAATTATATCAAGGCAAAACCGACATAGTCGGCAATTATATTAAAAGAAGATTGTCAGCCGGACCTACGTCCGGGGAAATTAGATACATGCTAAAAAGTACACGGCGCACAGGCCTGATGAAGGCAGGAAGGATAAACAATGTTAAGCTACTGCTGCTGCTGCTGTTGTTGTTGTGTCGGCTGGCCATGGCCGGTAGGAGTGGCTTCTTAAGTCTGCTGGGTTTGGGCTTCTCCAGCCTCACCCGGCACTATCTCTTCCGCGTGCTCCTCCTCCTCGATGCCGGCCCATTCTTCAAAGGGCGCCGGCTTCTCGGTCTCGAGAACTTAAGCGTCAAATACTTTAGTAGCGTATTTGTATCTCAAGTCGAAGAAGGCATAGTCGATGTCCGGATGGATCATGGACTAGGTCATCTTCATGCGCTCCTCGCAGTCGCGCTCGTTCTTGGTGACCAGCCGGTCTTGTTCAGCTACCAACTGGTCCTTGTGCTCCGTCTGGGTCTGGGCCAGCTCATTTTTCAACCGGGTGACCTCAGCCTTCAGCTTGGTGTTCTCCTTGTCAACCTCCCCCAAGGCCTTGACATCAGCCTTGAGGTTGTTGACCTGAGTATCAAAGTCGGCTGCTTTCTTGTTGGCCTCCTCAGCAGCAGCCGTGAGCTCCTTGATGAGCTTTCCCTGTTTCATCTCCCGACGTTTAGTTTCGAGTTCATACATAATCGTTTTATATTGGGTGACATCAATAAGGTCGGCTGCCCTTCTTTGGGCATCCCTTACCTCCTCTTGCTTCTTCCGCAAGGGGACCTTCATCCCATCAACCCTCAACATCACCTGCAAAGTCAGCCGGAAAGAAGTTAGCTTCTCAGTTATGCTACAACCGGCAATGAACAAAATTGCACAAAAATACCCCAACCGGTAAATTACCTCAGCCAGCAGTGAGTTGATGCATTCAATGTTGACTTGGTTGATACCCGGTACCGCCTCCTTTTCGGACTGGGTGAGAGTCCTCAGGATTCTCTTGGCATAGTTTTGCAGATCCGGCCAACGAAAAAAGGCATCTGCATCATGAGATTTATTTGTTAAGTACTGAGCATATGCAGCGCCTATATTCTGTCGGCTGCCTGAAGAATCCCTTGACTGGGTAACTTGGACTTGACTCGAACAAGCCCAAGCGGTCAGGGGGGAGGTCAAAGGTGAGAGCAGTACCTTGGTTTTCAGGCTGAGGGGTGACACCACCCCCAGCCGCATTGGAGCCGGATGCAACAGTTAGCACCCGGCTAGAGGGAACCTCAGGCTCCCCAGTTCTGGCCTCAGCCGGCCCTGAGTTCAAGCCCAGATCTCGCAGACTCTTGCCTGCTGAAGTAGGCCTGTCAGGAGCCGGCGGTCTTCCGACAGAAGCAAGGGTAGCCGGAACCCTCCTTCTCTGAGAAGCAGGCTGGGAGAGTTCCTCTCCCGGTCTCTTCATCATCTGCCTTAAGGAACGCGGTACGTTCTTGCTCTCCGTCTGCAAAAGAAAACAAAGCAACTGGTTAGTATTAAAATGGGCTACAAGTCATACAGACGGTACAAAGGTCAGCCGGTACTTACCCCATCGTCTTTGGCCACCGGTTGGGCCTTCTTTTTCTCTAGTTGTTCCTTTCTGATCTCAGCGGTTGACTTAGCCGGAGTCTTTTCTGGAGGAACCATTTCCAGACCTTTCTCTGCAAAAAGGAAAAATAAAATTAGAAATCATTCAAACACCACACAAGCGACATAAGATGCCGGTTAGCAATCAACGTACGTTTGCTCCAGAAAGTGTTAAGACCGCAGGCGGAAAGCAACACCTCGTTTTTAAACCAATCTGGATGAGGGACCCAGAATTTAGGGACAATGACTTGTGTCCCATCATCCAGAGGCAGTGTGGTCTTCTTGAAAAGACCCGGCTCCATTATTTGATCCTAGGCCCTCTCCGATATTTTGAGGAGGACACACTTCTTTCCCAAGAGAGCCAGGTGTTTTTTGTAGTGACGCAGCCGGTGGTTCTATTGCGGAGAAGGGGAAGAGACCATGTAAAACTTGCTCTTCCAGCAGCTCCACGAGACGGCTTTTCCAGCGTCATCATATACTCCGGATGCGTGGTCAATGTGTACCACGCATTCCAGCTGCCTGGGGCACGGCTGAGATAGTGCATATGTGCAAACGCCTCCCAGCTAGGCATTATGTCCTGCATTTCGCAGGTGGCTATGTACCGAAGAATGTTCACCCAAGAGTTGGGTGTGAGATGCCAGACGCCAAGGTCGTAACCCCTTAGAATGGCTTTAATTGTGTTGTGGAGGGGAAACCGAAGGCCGGCTTTGAATGCCGCCTCATAGCAGCCGAAGTAATCATCAGCGTGGTCCAAGTCGTCATCCCAGATGACGGCTGCCTCCACAGGTGGAACAACGACTTCCCATCCAGCCCCTACTGTTTTTGAAGAAAATTACTTGAAGATGCCCCAAACGGTAAAATACCGGCTGTGGGTCTATTGAATGCAAGAAGAGTAAATTGACTAAGTCAGACAGTACCTTAGTGAATTGAGCAAAGAGCACTAAAACGGTATCCGGATGAGTCTGAAAAGAGGGAGCTGGTTGAACGCAAAAGCAGCCGGTGTCAGAGCTTTTTTCTCTCAAGGAAGTTTTTGCAAAAATTTGTAAAGTATGAAATGAGGGAAGGAAGCCTCCCATTTATAGGAGGGGGCAGAAGGCGAACCGTCACCTCCCCCACCACTTCAAATTCGAAATTCGAATAAAAAAAATGGAGGGAAGGAGCCGAACCGTCACCTTCCCAGAATGTGACACGTGTCACATGTGCCACGTGGCAAGCCACGTCACACATGTGAGGGGCAAATGTTTGGGGTAAAATTACCCTATGCCACATGGACCAATGACATGCTGACACGTGTCAGCCCCAGAGAGGCCCAATGGGATTCAATCGGATGCTGACACGTGGCACGGTAACCCTAATAGGGGAACTGATCCTCTTCTACTATAAATAGAGGAAAATCCTCATTTATTACACATTCATAAATACAAACACAAAAAACCGAGCAATATTAATTGCAGAATTCTCTTTGAATTAGAGAGAAAATCCATTTACTTTTCGCACATTTATACATCCGGAGACGTTCTAACTTGATCGTCGGAGGCGGAACTCCACCCAACCGGAGTTTCGTGGTTTTGCAGACAGTCGACGCGTATTCCCGGAATTGTAACTCTCCCGAGGGACTCTAAAAACCCTGAAACAGTTTTGATCTGCTTTGTCTCGGGGGCTTGGGTTGAGGAATTTGTTGAACATATGCTGCCATGCTGCTTCCCTCCTCCTACTGACTGTAGAAAAAGATAAATGCGCACCGACAACTCGGTTTTATTGCGATTGATGTAGGGTTTTGTTAATTTGTTTCAATAAGTGCGATTGATCTAGGATTTTGTTAATTTGAGCTTTTGGAATTGTGAATATACGGAATGAATTATGGGTATACGGAGTATTTGAATTGTGAGTATTTTTTAGTATTTGATACTTGAATCTTGAAATTTCAGTAGTTTGATTTGTGGATGTATTGTGAATATTGTATTGGTTGTCATTTAATGTGATTTTTTGGGTATATTTTGACTGACTTGTTGATTATGGACTTTATGGTATGCATATATTTTGATCGCCTTGAACTTCAATTTTAACTAAGATTCTGGTTTGGTAAATCTGTTAAGTCAGTCTAAGTTATAAATTTGACATATATAATGGTTCATGGAGATAGGTCAACTGTTTGTGTTGCATGTGTGTACATTGGTCACCTGCTAATTGCAATGTTTCCTTGTGTGTGTGTGTGTGTGATGATCAGGAGTTGATTCTACAATCCGGTTGGGCTATTTGGTTTATAGAGGATAGAATTTTGACATAGTAGCTTGCAATTCCTTTGGTATACAAGGTAATCTATGTGTTTATTGTAGTGGTTTTTGTGAACTTGTATTGAGAAACTTAGTGGAGTAAAAGAATTAGCGTGGTTTTTTTTTTTTTTTACTTAGCTTAGGGTACATCAGCGTGGTTTTAAGTTGTCACAAGAGTAGGAATGGAGGGTGATAATGGAGGATGGAAGGAATGGAGGGTGACAATGTTGATGTTCTTCTACTATGCAATTCTTTGCTGCTGCTTTTTGTGCTATTGTGATGCTGCTTCTATGCGCATATGTTGCTCTTTGTGTGTAGGTGGATTTGGTGAAGTATAAGGGTAATTTAGATGAAACTTTCCCATATACAAAATTTTATTTTATTTTATTTTATTTGTGTATAACCTTGTATTTTATTTTATTTTATTTTATTTTTGACGAAAATTGTAATATTACAGTCTTTTTAATGAAAATAAGTAACTTTATATATATGTTAGTGTTTATATATCAATTTAAGTGAAAAAAATGCAAAAAAAAAAAAATATATATATATATATATATATTTTTTTGGGGCATTAAGGGCACCGGTTTTGAACTGAACCGGTGCGATTAACACGTTATTAGCACTGGTTAACAGGTGCTAATAACTTTTATTACCACCGGTTTTGAACCGGTGCGAATAATCTCACTTATTCGCATCCCTCAAATCTAAATCGGTTCAAAACCGGTGCGAAAAGCCGGTTTTGAACCAGTGCGCATTTCCCTTTTTCTACTAGTGGTGTAAGAATGAATTTTGATAATTAATGGGAAATACTCCACTCATTCCTATTATGACGGAAAACGACGCATGCATGGTCCTAGTATACGATCATAAACAATATGGTGCATGACTCGAAGACAAAGTGTGGGCAACGACTTAACAAGTATGATTAGGTGAGTTCATTAAGACTCGTGATATAATCGTATGGCTAGACATGAAGACGTTGTGGGAAAACAAAGGACCCAAAGACCCAATAGCACGGAAGACTAAAAGACAAACTAAGTTGATTAATTTTGTCCAATTTTAATGTTTACGCAATTTACTAGGTAAAAGCGGTCCATTGGCAATGGTTATTCATAAGGAAGATAACATGAACCACAATCAAAGACAAAGAACACATGTTAAGATTAGCACAGTAATCACAAGTGACTAGGAAGAAGGACTTGAATTCTAGAAGAGTTAGGACTCATGGGAAAAGATAAAAAAAAAAAAAAAAAATCTACAACTCTATGTCACACGAGTTGACACGTGTTAGAGGACTAAGAGAAGTAGAAGATTGCCTAAGACTAGCTTACACGAAAAACAAATAAAAAAAAAAGGTAGGACGTTAAAAAGAACTCTTAAACTTGACATGTTGTAGTATCTCGGTTATACCTTTTGATTTGTGACTCTGATTGGGACGAAACCAACACCTTATGAAAAATTACACTTGGGCTATTGATCCATTGGTAGCACGACATGTAACACTTTCTAGAACTCCGACTATGACCAAAATAAGTTGACGCTTGTGCAGGATATGGGAATAAAAATCCGGGTTGACTCAAAAATAAAATAAAAAACCTATGACTCGACTCTAATAAAAAAAAATGCACATATAAGTACATTGTCACGCATGATGCAATGAAGTTCGCAACCTAGAGTCTTGGTTCTATGTTCAAGCTAATGGTCGGCTTATTTGGGTGTCAAAAGGGTACCATGGTTAAAAGTTTGGACGCTTTAGCAAAGCAGCCTCCCTTGAGGGTGTATGCCGACGGGCGGCTCCACAAGTTCGTGATGAAATCGAACTCAACTCCATGGTTTGGGTAGATTTAATAACTCGAATGAACCCTCATTGTTATGAACGTTATCGGATCGATAGAGCTTAAATCCCCCGGGGCTAGCCACATATGTAGAGCACGTACTACTGTGGTAAAATAGGTAACCTAAAATGCATATGCATATGTGACAATGCCAATTAAATCGCAGGAATACAATTCAAGAATCTTTCAAGTCTCATCCACTCATCTCAATTAAATACCAATCACTCAAATCGATAAATAACTAAGAATCCTCCGATGGAGTCGCCAAATTATAGGCGTCATTCGAAGCGCGCCTACTTAAGCATGTTGTGAATATGCTTGGCATTCTTAGAAAGTGAGAATTGACATTATACGATTAGGGACAAATAAAGTAGGGGGCTATCAACAAGTTTTTAAAAAACTTGTAAACTGTTCACGGATCATTTAAGGCAACCACGAATAAAGGACAACGATAGGCAACAACGATTGACCCGTAAAGGTTACACCCCATTCATAATCCATGAAATTACTAACTCCATATGGTTCGAAACCACAAAAGGAGGATCGAAGATGATGACACGAAGTGAGTCACGGGGTCACATTCACTCATATTGGCTTCTACTCGATTCTTATTGTAAAAAGTCATTCCTGCGATCTCAAAGGCATACGAACAGAATTTAATTTGCTCCAAACTAATATTAGGCTAAATTGGTTGAATATTATGCAACACATAATTCTAAATATCATGATCAATTGATTAAACAACATTAAAAATGAACCTAAACCCGTCGTCCAAATTATTTATTAGGCGTTATATTCAATTACAGATTCTCATTAAACATGCAATATGGTGATCAACAATAACAATAGAATAAACAATAATATTAGAACCAATTTAACCATAATACACTAGTAGAAAAAATGACATTTGCTACGATTTTTCTAAGGGTATTTGCTACAGTTTTGAACCGTAGAACTAGTGGGCGTAGCAAATAAGGAAAACTATTTCCTACGGTTCAGAATCGTAGCAATTTTAAGGTTTTTGCTATAGTTTTTTTAACAAACCGTAGTGTTTTTGCATTTTTGCTACGGTTTTTTCAAAAAACACCGTAGCCTTTTGCTAAATTATGCTACGGTTTTTTGTCTAAACCGTAGCAAAAAGTGACCCATAAAATATAATTTTTTTTTTTTTTTTTTTTTTGCAATTTAAAAGCTTAATTAGTGCTGATAGTATAACATGTACATAAAAGAAACTATATTCATAAAACTTGTCTTAATTTACAATGTAAACTATATTTACAAATAAGAAACACAAGTTACTCATATTTATGACAAGTGATAAATTTAAAGACACTAAGGATTATAGTTTTCAACAACTGGACTCACATCTAAGCTTTGGCTTCACATTGAGAGAACCTTTAAACTACCTTCTTTTGAATAAGTACTAGCACATAGCACCTATGTGCTTAGAAAGTGTATAGGATGGCACTGGTTTTCTAGTGGCACAATTTAAAGTACAAAACGTACGTACTACTTTGATTAAATGTAACAATGTGATTTCAGTATTACATTTTCGAAGTATTAAATATACCACTAGCACAGTTAAGTGAAATATTCAAGTTTTCTAATGTCTCGTAAATTACGCTTCTGCCCTCCTATACACTTCGTTTGTCAAATAGGTGCTATGTACTAATATGCACTCCCTTCATTTTATGGAGTTGGCTTTTTCTTTACTATCTCAACTCCTGCTATTTCATTCTTCTCATTGTAATATAAATCTTCATTTTTGATAACTTCTTAAGCAAATCCTCTAATGTATCCCAATTTCATGTCTCTTTCTCCCCAAATCTTGTACCATAAAGAGACCACACCGTATATGACATTTTTCTTGCATTGGTCTACAAATAACAATCATAAATTGATTTAGAGGGATTGTTACAAGAGTAATCCTCAGAGGTCATAGAGAGAATAACTTACTTCCTAGAGGAACTCATAGTCAACAAAAGTTGTTCCTGCTTGACCAGAGATAAGCTCCTTCAATTCCATTTACACGTGGCAAGAAAGAAGCAGCTTCAATTCATCTAAAGTATACAACCGCTGAGGCACCTGCACTACACATCAAACTTTCATTTAACAACACAACATTAAAGTGTGAATCCATAACATATCAACTTTGAGACAATTATCAGGAAGCAAAAGTTTGAAAGACAACCGGCCTTATTACAAGAGACAAAATATAAATTGAGCAATATTATTTCTGAAAATTCAACATAACCAAATACTCGATAATCAATTGTAACTACTGCAACACAGAGTAGTTACAACTGATTGTGAGGGATTAACTTAATATTATTAAGCGGCAGGAAAAAAAAAAATAAATAAATTAAAAGAAATCAAAGAGTTTATACCTTGCTGTGATTGATTAAACACAATTTAAGAAAGAGCACAGGATGAGGCGCAACACTGATCCTTTGATTCATTAGGTTTTTTTTTTCAAAATTTGACCAATTAAATAAAAGGGTACAAGATCAGGCCCAAAAAAGCAACTTAGTAAACAAAATTATAATCAGCATAAATAATCCTGCAAATCAGAAAAAACAGCTTGAATCTAAACTTGTACTTTCTCTCTTAACTTGAATGTAACTTGTAAAAACAGCTTAAATCCAAATTAATTAGCAAATTAAATAACCCTCAAAGAAAAACTACACTATTTTTACCTAATTAAGAACTATCACCAAGTCATATAGTAACAATTCTATGCTCAATCGTTACACACAAAGCTAACGGGAAATTAGTCAACATTTCTCGAATTATCCCAAATTTTCCCCACAATTAAAATCCCTTAATCTCAAATTACAGAAAGAATAACTTAATCAGTAGAAATCAAAGCGAAATGAAGAACAACTCATACCTAAATAAGCAAGCAGCAGTTAAAGATTTAATAAATTCAACCAATTTAGGAGAAAGAATTTTCAGTATGAGAATGAATTAGAGCTAAATTTTTAGTGTTGTATTGAAAAATCTAAGGAAAAGAATCCGTATGACGAAATTAATAGAGATTTACCTTCGGTGATTGAGGACGAAATTCAGCAAATCACCTTCAGCAATTGGTGTCGCGGCGACGGCGGTGGACTCTCCAACCAGAAGTTTTAGGGCGAGATAAACAAAATTATTTGATTACATGTGTCATTCGAATAATCATTTTCGTTCATAAAAACCGTATCATCTAACATTTGATTGGGAAATTTAGCAGAAAACACCATGGATGCCATTCGAAGGATGTGAGAGATGAAGATGCTTAGAAAAACGAGTGAAAGTGGAGAATTTGATCACGGCAAAACAGGAGAGAGAAAAAGGAGAATAGAAGAAATGACAAAAATGGCGGATCTTGAGGGGTTTGAGGACTTTGAGATGAAAGAGAGAGTGGAGTAGGAAGGAGGAAGGCTAGGGTTCTCTGTTTGCTTATGTTGGGTTTTAATTTGTGGGCTTGTCTATTGGGCTACGGTTAAAATAAAACCAAAGCATTGTTGTAAAAGGCAAACCGTAGCCTTTTCTTGGTAATATTCGGTTTCATCATCAAATTAAGTCTAAATTGCTTCGGTTTTCCATAAGACCGTAGCACATTTGGGCTGGTAAAAGGCGCTACGACATTAGTCAAATCATCAAAAATATAATAATAAACCCTAACATGATACTAGCAATATTAAAAAAAAGGTAAGTAATTGAATGAATTACTCACGTTCCGCGCTTCTTTAAATTGCTATATCATGAATAAAATATTAGTAACTTCTAAGAATAATAAATCAAATTGAAATTATATTAAAGTGGAGTTGATTTGGTCCAAACCCTCAATCGGTTCTACCTTTCACACCTTGGTTTAAGAAAGGAACTTCGGGTATTGTACGGAGTCCTTGGAGTGCTTAGAGAAGGAAGGGTGTAATTAGGAGAATAGGTTTAAGGCTTAGAATGTGAGAGAGAGGAATTAGAATGTGTGTTGGTGCCCCGAAGCTGTGAAATCTGCCTCGTATTTATAAAAGAAATGAGAGGGGTGAGGCTTGGAACCCTAAATATGAGGCGCTGCGGAGAAAAAAACCCTAAAAATTGTCGTGTCACGGCAGAATTGCCGCGGCACGGCAATAATTGCCGCTATACGACAAAATTGTCGTGGTGTGGTAGGTTCCAGTTTTTACGCGTTTTTTAAACTTTGATAATTTTTATCTGTAAACCAGAATAAGGCATATAATATATCGTTTGAAAGATCATCAAGTCTACTTTCCAACCCAATTAGAATCTGAATTGCTAAACATCGCCCGCGAATCTCCACATAAAGCCCACAAAATTAGAGTGAATTGTCACTTTTGCCCTCAAAGTAAAAAACACAATTTCTTCTCTCAATTCTGTACTTCCACTTTCTCTCTCTAAAAAACTTTCCGAGCGATGTCGAGGCGGCCCGGCAAGGAAGTGGCGGCACAGGCGGCGGGTGGACAGCGGTTTTCCGGCGAGAAGGTATTTTTTATTAATTTTGTGTTTAAAAATTAAAAAAAAAAGGTCGGAGGCGGTGGCGGCGCCTAGGCCAGACGCCACCACCACGGCGGCGGCGCCTAGGCCAGACGCCACCACCACGGCGGCGGCGTCTAGCCCAGACGCCACTACCACGGCGGCGGCGCCTAGGCCAGACGCCGTGACGGTGGCGGTGGCGTCTGGCCCAGGCGCCAGAACCACGGCACCGGCGTCTGGCCTAGGCGCCGCCGCCTTTTTATTTTTTTTTTTAATTTTTTTTTTGGTTTTAAATTTGAAATTTAATTTTCGAAAATAATTATTTTTTTTTTGATTTTTTTTTAAATTTGTTTTTCTTTTTTTTAATTTTAAATTTTATGTTTCTGATTTTTTTTTTATTTTGTTTTAAATTTTGTTGGTTTTTTTTTAAAAAAATTTTATGTTCCTCTTTTTTTTTTTTTAATTTTTAATTTTATGTTCTTGTTTATTGTTCTTGTTTTTTTTTTTTTTGAATTAGTTTTTTTACTTAAAAAAAATTTTATGTTCCCTTTTTTTTGTTATAAATTTTTTTTAAAATTTTGATGTTCTTCTTTTTTTAAGTTTTTATAATTTTATATTTTTCACTTTGTTTTTTCCAATTTGTTTTTTTTGGGTAATTTTTTTTTTTGCTTTGTTTTTTCCAATTTTTTATTTATTTATTTATTAGGTTATTAATTTTTTTATTTTTAGGTTGTTAATATTTTGTAATGTTTTTAATTTATTTTCCATCATATGTATATTGTTTTATTTATTTATTTTAATTACTTTTTTTATGTTTATATTACATGTTTATATTGCATATTACATGTTTTGTTATTTTGTGTTAGGCATCGTATTTTCGTTCTGGGGCTGGGAAGAGTATGGACATTATGAGAAGTACGATGAACTCAATGGAGAGCTCGGGGCCCAGACACGTTAGATCCCGTGGTATTTCGGCCTCGGCTCGTAGAGAACGGGTGCACTATTCTGAGGATGATGAAGATGATGATGGTGATGAGGAGGAGGAGGAGGAGGATGCAGATGAGGATGTGGACGATCAGAGTGGACCATATGATGATTACGGTCCATTCAGTCAGAGGCTTGATGATGTGTATGAGACGCGTAGGGTAGACGTGCGTAAGGGTAGAGATGGTAGATTTGTTAGTAGATCTGGCACATCATCTGCGTCCACTGTGTCTGCGGTTAGCAGAAAACGGTCGAGGGCCGTTAATGATTCTTGGGTGGTGAGGGGCGAGGTGGCTGGGGGACCTATAGACGGGAGTGTGATTCCTAGCTTTCTAGGACACATCGCTACCCGTATTTGGGAGGACCAAGAGCGGGCTTTGGATAGCGGCATTTTGAAATGCCAAACCCGGGAGAGGACTTGTAACTTCTTGTGTAGTTGGGCTGAGGCTTGGCCGGAGGAGAGCGAGATGGTCGGCCGATTGAGGGCCACTAGAGTGAGCCACCTTCCTGCCACCATGCATGAGAGGATTGACTCGACGCTGATCACGGCTTTCGTTGAGCGATGGCAGCCGGACACGAACTCTTTCCACCTTCCGTTCGGTGAGATGACGATCATGTTGCATGACGTCGAGGCCATCCTTGGGATTCCCGTAGAGGGAAACCGAGCATCTGTTGTCACAGATGCGGATCAGGCAGATTTATTGGCGGAGCTGTTGGCGGTGGATAGGGCTGCGCTGTACACAGCGGCACTTGGTGTGTGGGATCACGGCGGTGTTAAGATCGCAGCAGTTTTGCAGCGATGTTTGCACCCCACTTCACGTAGGACGCAGGACACACAGCTGGCTGCATATGTTTTTCTTCTTCTCGGGTGTACCTTGTTTCCGGATAAGAGCGGAAACAAGCTCAGGCCACGCGACATAGTTGACGCGTGTGAGCCCGACAGAGTAGGCCAGTTTTCTTGGGGGTCGGCTACATTAGCGTACATGTATCGCCAGTTAGGATTCTCGAGCCGGGCTGATGCGGCAGGTATCACTGGATGTATGACGTTGTTACAGACGTGGATATACGAGTATTTCCCGGCGTTTCGACCACACCGCGACCCGGTTCCTATTGGGGATGGCCAGCCACGTGCCTGTGCGTGGAGTCCGCGTGTCGAGAAGAAGTCCATTGACCGCCTGCGATCGATACGGTTATTGCTTGACAGGATGTCCCCATTAGAGGTAAAGTGTTTAAATTATTTCTACTTTTATAGTTTGATGTGTTTATTGTATGAATCTTACTAATTTTAAAAAATGTGCAGGTGAACTGGATGCCTTTCGGCCAGAACCCTAGTAATAGGGTACCCAGGACCCTCTACACGGGACTGATTCAGTATCGTGAGATCGTAGAGGCGTACATGCCGCAGCGCTGTCTTCGCCAGCTTGGATATGTCCAAGTTGTTCCTCCTCCACCAGCATGGCCCAGTAAGGCCGTCCGATCTGCGTCGTTGAAGGAGTACGTCGTCCAATGGCCGGCAAGCATGATTGGCACGTGGGAGCAGTTTCCGATGGTTGCCCGCATATGGATTGAGCAGTTGCAGCGGCCGCCAACTGGGGTGGCTGCCATGTGTGACCAGCACTACATGGAGTGGTACAACCGGCACTCGCACCCGAGGTTGATCAGAGACGTCCACCACGGCGACGACGCCGATGATGATGATGTGCCACCGCCCACTGCCGTGGATGCGGTACGTCTCATAAAACATTTGTAGTTGTGTTTTTTTTCATATAATACGTCTCATAATACGTCGTTATTGAATTTTATGTGTTTTGTTATGTGTAGTGGATGGGAAAGATGACGCAGTTGGGACACAGACTTTTTGAGGAGAGGGACAACATGACGACTGCAACAGGCAGAGCTGTTATTGATGAACTGGAACGGGCCCTTGAGCAGTGGCAGTGGGCGTCACAGAGAGATTATTGATATGTCGGCAGTGCATTTATAAAACATTTTCCTAGTTGTTTGTAAAAGTTAACATTATCTGTTCTTATAATTATTATTTTAAGTTCTTAGAATTTGACATTATATTTTTAGTTTTTATAACTTTTATTTTAAGTTGTAATTAGTGGGCATACGAAAACTAAATACAGGTTCACATTTAAATGGGAAAACTAAATACGAAAATTAGAATCCGAAAATTAAATAAATGGGAAAAACATAGCAATAGCAATATTAGGTCACATAGAAAAGGCAACTAGATTGTTCCACTGCTGCACCCGGTCATGATATAACGCATCCCAGCCCTCTACGCTTGCTGTACGAATGGTGTACCACGTTGGTATAATCGGTGGGACCGGAAAATCGGGTGACAGGTCCAGTCGGATGAAATGTCTGTATGACGGCCCCAGAAATCCAATAGCAACCTCTCTTACCGGTCTGGTGACGGTCTCACGCGAACACCAAGGCAGAACCGTGGTACACGGATAGTAAGCTCGACCATGCAAACCAAGGCCGAAATGCATCACTGCACACTTGTAGATGTTTGCAACGGCGAAGAGATCAAGGGGCGCGTCGAACCAATGATTTTGACCGCAACGTCCTCCTCCCCACCGGATACGCTGCAGAGACCTATCCAAGTCCTGTCCGTACACGTGGCGATAAACAGCTCGGTTTGAGGCGATTTCACTGTACATCAACTGACGCACTAAACCGTAGTTGTCTTCACCCATCTGAAACACATCAGCCACAACCCGAAATCCACAGTTACCATCTGCAACCACATCATTCCACCCGTCTAGGAACGGCATCATGATGTTAGGGATCCTGTCTTTATATGGAAAATGTTCAATGTCCATTCTGCCTGTTGCACACATCAAAAAACACAATTAACAAGTTAGCAGAAAACTAAACAAACATCGAACGAAACTGCTCCAACTCCTCCTGTTCACGGTTGACTGTCTGTGGAACAGCATGCTCTCCGATAACGAGCGTCCGCCAGAATGGATGAACCTGATCAACATGTAACGACGCCCTATC